CCGTCCAGAGGACCTATACAATTTTTTTTCCTTTGATTACTGAAGTTTGTGCATTGATTCAGAAGATGTTGGTTGTTATTGCAATATGGGCAGTACAACTTAGATTTCTGACTAGCTGGGGATGACTCTGTGGAAATAGAACATGTCTGTGGAGGGGTGGCAGCTGTGGTCCTAGGTCCTGTGCTGAGTAAAACAGTAGAGGACTTTGGATGTGATTGCTTCTCTTGTCGCTCCCTCTGTCTGAATGGTCTCTCTCTGGAACCTGACATTACTATTTCACTMTCCTGTACCTGGACTTCAAATTCCAACCAGTCCGAGAAATCGTACAGTGTGGGTACTTGTATGTGCTGAGAAAGAGCATAGTGACGAAAATTAGTTCTTAAGACGTGGTAATTTCGATGTGAGTCGAGTGACGTGAGAACCACAAGTCAGTTCGATTCGTCCATTCTGTCCCAGTTGATCCAGCATTCCAACAAGAGCTCGCACTTTTAGAGCAAATCTGCGAAAAGATGCAGTATCARTGTCTCTGACATTAGCTCCATCCATTAACTCTGCAATTCTTTTTAAAGCGAGCTGATGAGGCTGCCCGTACTGTGCTGTGAGTGCCGCCATGGTATCACTATAGGGGGAGACTGAGTTGCTGTAGGAATCTGCAATGAGTAATGCATCCTCTAGCTTGAGYTGGTCAACCAATATTTGATACTTGAACCGTTCTGTGGCATCACTTGGTAGAAGYTTGTCCAGAGCTATTTTAAGTCTGGAGAATTCTCTGGGATCGTCATGTATAAAAGMGGGGATTGTAGGCTTCGGTCCCCTGTAGATCTTCTCCTGATTTCCTGGTCTGGGTACAAAATATTGTTCTATATTGTTCTAACATAAAAGCATTGCATATTTATAGTTTGTTTTTGGCTTTATTCCATATAAATGCTTTGATAGGACCCGATCAAGACCCAGTTAGAGTAGTACAAGTAAAATATTATCATCCCTAAGTAGATGCGACTCTGCCCCTGCCACTCTGGAAGACGTAGGGTGAGAATCAGCAGCAACAACAACAGAATCTCCACAAAATGAAGAACTTACACACTAGCAGCTGCTACTGTTTGCACCTAATCACCTCAGTTTTGATGTAAATTACCAGGTAATGCAAAACTCATGGCATTGTAAAGGATAATAAAACAGCAGCCTTAATCTCATCAGTCTGGTAGTAATTAGACTGTATTTTTCCAAAATGATGTCATTCAGGGAGTTATCTACAACAGGTTGGATGTTGTTTGTTTGTAAGCTTTCCAACTCATCTGAACAAGTGCTTTAACTACAGAATCAACAGTACATACAATAAAAAAACAGTCTCTGACACAAACCCAAACAAGTCAAAAGCCACAGATTTGAATCCAACATCATTTTAATCTTAACTTGAAACAAATCATGACATATTTTTATTAACTTTGCAGAATTACATCAGCTCAAAATGAAGCCACAAGTGATAAAACCCGTGTCAGATGGTTTCTAATGCGGAGCCAGAGCTACAAAGTCTCTGGTCAGAGAAGACGTGGCCGTTATGGAGCCAAGGTCTAATGGAGTTTTAATAGATAAATGTTGGAAGGAAGTATCTGAGGCTCTCCAGTAACAGCAGGATGTGGAAATCCAGACAATGTTTTTCAAATGGTGATGGATGGCAGCTATTTGTTTCATGAGCACAAATGGAAAGTGTGTTAGTGACTGGCAGAAAGCAAAGACGGAAGATGACATAAACAAGTTGTGTGAGGAAAATGACAGCATGAAGAAGCAGTTTGATCATCTCAACCTGCAGAGGACTGGCAGAAGTGGACAAAAACTAATGAAAGTCAAATGTAATAAAAAAAAAAGCTTAATTTGACTGACAAAGCAAACTTTTTATTTCTCTGGACTTTATTAAAAACAGGTGGGAGCAGATCATTGTGTAAAAGTCTGACATGTTCTTCACCTCAGCTTTTCACAACAGTTCATTGCTTTAATGAGTCTGTCATAACAGCTTTGGCATTTTTATTATTCACAGAAAATCAGTGATTAAAGAATAGCTCCATCAAACTAATTATTGACAATAAAAACAATACATAATTGTATGCATATTGTTCCCCTATGGGTCATAACATATACCATTAAAAGAATACTGTCTAAATAGCAAATACTAAAAGTATTTTTAAAATTTTCTCTTCCTCTGTCACAATAAAGTACTTTAAACTTTGCTTTTAACCTTTCAATTAGAAACATTTTCTAACATCGACATGAAGCTCTGAATTATTCTTTTTGTTTTGTTTGTTTGTTTTTTGTTCCAAAGGATGGGAATTTGAAATACCTTCTGTCCATCTTGTGCTTGAGCACCACTAAAATGGGGCTAAAATTGCCACTGACACATGGTGCAACATAGTTTGGAACTAAATATCAAAATAATCATTAGTGACATCAGCAATGATGAAGAAGCCACCCTCATCATCAAACTTCAGGTGCGACACGTAAACAAAAAAGCTGCAAACAGATGCAGCAAAGCAAATCCTTGTGTTCCTCAGGGCCAAGCAGAGTACATGCAGCTGTACTGGTTTTGGTGCAGAACAGAAAATCTGCATTTCTTCTAATCTCTGTCAGAGCAAAGCTCCAGAAATGTCAGAACCTACATGGGAGAGTTATACAGTTAATGTAATGCCAGCTCTGATACGTGGTGCCAGATGCTGTGGGGCCAGAACGGCTTCAAGAGAATTGGGCTACTGGAGCACTGGAACACTGGAGCACTAAAGCAGCAGACATCAAACTGCTGGAACCCCAAACCAAGTGAAGGAGGAAACACACAACTCATTTTTTGTTAGGTTTTGCTTCCAATGAGTCTTTTTTGTCATCCTTGAACACTAGCTGTCCAGGCTTGCTGAAGCTCTTCAAACAGTTTTTTTTGAAGGTTAGCTACATTTTCATGCTTTGATTTCATGACGTGCATTTGATCATGATGGCACTTTGTGCTGTGTCTTTGAACTATCTGATGAAACTGGACAAGAGGACACTTTAAGAAGTGGCTGAACCCTGAATCTATCTAGCTCACGACCCAGGTTACAGCCAGATGCTTTTTACATAGAATTATTTTTTTATTTGACTACCTTTGAAATCTGACTGGCCACCCCCACCAGAGCTGTCAATCACTTTGTTCACACAAAAAGAGTAATCCATCATGACAGCTGCCATAATCCATGATGTGTTGCATATATATTCGCACGGGATAAGAATTATCTGAGGACCCCATAAATAAATTACTCCCCTACGTCTGTGTTTTATGTGGCGCATTCGTACGGGATAACCAAAGCCAGAGATTTTCCTGAAATTTACAGACATCTCACGAATGTGATATTGAAGTTAGTTGTTGTCTATTTAGTTGAACACGGCATTGAACGGACTTAAAAAAAGTAAACATCAAGTTTTCCACTTTTTCCGCTCTTCTTTCCTCCTGCGTTACAGCAGGCGCTGTCATCTCCACAGCAACAGACCCCCACCCCACCCCCACGCGCAGGCACAAGATTTTTGAGGCTCATTAGACAGGTAAATGTCCAAAGGGGATAACATGTATGAACGCCTTCCCAGCTGGCAAGGGTGCGCGCACGCCTGGCGCGAGTAGCTACCCAAAGTGCGAGCCTTCTGCGCTACGGCCACAGCTCAACATTCAGCATCAGCCAGAAGGCTACAAACAGAAAAAAAATATTCTTACTGTACAGTGAGCTACCCTTTGCATCTAATTTTGCTCCCTCTCTTCAGCCTTTTTTATTTTCTAATTTTTTTTGTGGCGCATGTAATGTGTCGGGTTTTTCCGGCCCGGAACGCAAAGGTTTTCAGTGCACTCCAATCCAGCCTCCATTCTTCATCAAAAGTAAATAAAAATGCACCAAAGAAGCCAAAACCACCTAATTACATATGGGATTCAGCCCATTCCTGTCCAAATCACAGAGATGCCTATTTGCATTGGATTAGTATTATCACATGACCTTGGAGTTCAGCGAATTATGGTAGGTAATTTGCGGGGGAATTTTTACTTTACAATTTACTGACATGGTCGATTCTTGCGGGATTCACAACACAGACAATCTCTGTAATTATTACAAATTGCATGGGGTCCCTAGGTAAAACTAATCCTGTCACAAAAGAGCTTAAGACTGCACGGAATTTAGATAAAATAGCAAACTTTCTGGGCCCCCCTTTTACAGCCTGTACCCCCTTAGCACCAGTTAGTTTAGACTGCATCGAGATACCCATAGAACAAGTTTCCTTCATAAACATGAGTAACCATTGATTATTCTATATGAAATTAACTATACTTTAAAGGTATATTTTCCCAGCCCCCATTTGTGGCATTGCCTTGGTTGAAAGCACCCCTAGAATTTGCCTACAGTGACTGTGCTATGGACCGGCCCTGCTTTAAAGACTGGGAAAAACCTGCATGCTACGTTTAACATTGAGTTGCAAAGACCACTTGACGCAGAGGGATTTAAACACACTGGAAAAGATAAAACTTTATTTCTCCTTTTTGTGACAATACAAAGTCAACAAGTGCAATAACAATCAAACTCAAAGGTTACATTCTATCTAGTAGTAGGTAAATAGACAGAACGTGGTGCACATTATCGTCTTCATCACCACCAAACCCAAAAAAGGTGAGGTATCAACCACTACAAAGCTTCTGTGTACAGGTGGGTATTCAACTTTAAGGCAACTGTTAACAATGACAACCTGGAGAGACTGAAACATAGGTGTGCTTCCTAATTCCCATAGGTTTTTTTTATTGTTTTTTTACCTTTATTATGGGAAAAGGCTTGAGCTGATACGATTACAGTACCACATCACATCAGGTCAGAGTTAAGACTATAGTTTAACAAAACAGAAAACATCACAAAGAAACAGTTGTTACATTAAAAACAAGGGAAGATTCCTGGTATGTTTCTTGAGAAAAGCCATTTATTACCCTGCTACTGTCTGTCAAAGACAAATTAGTGTAGTTTATTTCTTTTAATTCCCTGGGTAAGACTAATGTATTAGATGGTGACAGGAAAAAACCGTGTTGTGTTTTTTCAGAATGGATTGTATAGAGCCCTGAAAAGACACAGATTCTCTCTAATAAATCACATTTTGCACATTTATCTAGAGCTGGGGACTAATTAATTCTTCCCTTTCTCGCTGCACCTGTTAAAAACTCCACTTCTCTGTTTGCTGCTGCTGTTGAAACTCTAGCCGGGAGGACGAGTGAAAGTCATTTAAAGCCCTTCTGAGCGCCGGGCCAATTACTTCACTTGGACACATCCTGTCTCTTTGCCCCTAGAAATGATGGCACTTGTCTGCTGGGGCAATCATGCAATTAAACCCCAGCTATTGAAACGGGAATTAAGTTGCTCTAACAACTCAGCAAATTTGAATATTATTCCAGATAACGACGCCGATGATGCTGGCAGGCTTGTAAAGCCTCTGTTACGCTCCACTTATACTTTATAACACAGAGATTATATGTGAAGCCAGGACGCAAAGTCCTCAACTGACTTTGTTCTGTTTGTACAATTTCATTTGGAGTTACTTACGACCAAATTTATTAGGAGTGTAACAACACATCCATGTCACAGTTTGGTATGACAGGATAAAAAACGCTTTTTTGGGGGGACAATTATCTTACCAGAAGCAAAGAAAGAAAAACAAATCCCTTTCTGCCATGATGTGATTGATTGACATTACAGCAGTCAATTATTGTATTCAAGTAAGTTACGTAATGTTTTAGGTACATGTCAATTCAGAATACCAACGTTACACTGGGCTACTAGTTTAGTGAAACAAAATCCAAACATGTTGTAAATTATAATTAGTTTTCTGTGTAAATAAATACCTAAAAAGGTGAAAAGTTTCACACCCAGAGCTTTGTTGGAACTTTTGATTACAAAAGTGTTTTTGCCCTCTTAGAAATATATGAAAAATCTTTGGAGATCTTTTGAGGAGTTCAGAAGTATTAACAGGTTTGTTTCAATTTGTTCCCTTCCTAAATAACTGCAGACACGTCTGGGAGGCTCCTCTGTAAGAACCTTCTCCCTACAACATTCATCCCTCTGATTAAACTCTGTACATTATTGCTGACAGTGAACGGGGTTCTGATCAATATTTTTTCTCAACATTTTTTTGTTATGGCTAATTTATTACAATTATCTCTTACTTATACAAGATACAGAAAGCTCCTTATAAAGGAGCTTATGGGTAATTGTTTGTATTATATTGCTAGTAAAGCTGCCGTCCATCAGCTCAGATGAGTGAAAATGTGACACACTAACTTGAAAAGTAACGGCCTGGGTTGGTTTTCAGTTTGCAGGCTCATCAACAAGGTTTTGGGCTTGAGTTGGACTTTAAAGCTCCTCTGTGATGTGAAGGCATCCCTGATCTATGTTAGTACTCCGGCTGAAGAGACAAGTGAAACTCCTGCTGACTTTATGTGGAGCTTTGGAACCATCCAACCGAGAGGCGCTGTGTTCTTCTCAGACTCAGTACAGTGAAACCACTTGTTTTGCAAAAAGGAGACCCAAAACATTTCGTACAGAAAACCGTTTTTCAGCATAAAACATTCTAAATGAGATGCTCAGCATCAACCTAAGCTGTTACATGTTCAGAACGTTAGCCACTCATTTAGATAACATAAATAAATCACCAAATAGATAACCCACAACTCTGTCTAACTGCTACTGAACACAAAGTGACACAGCAGTGCGATAAAGAATTTATACCTAGAAAGTTGAGCCTTTTTTAAAAGACTGTTAAAGTTCTTCATGTGGAAGGTCATCCAGTTCAGCTGCAGCCCTCGTCAGCTCTTATCCAGGATCATTAAAACCTTGTTCCATTTCTCCTCTCTGTAGTAAAGTCTTTATGGTTCAGCTGTTTCCAAATGCCTGCTTGTGTCAGTTGTCAGGGTTCTTGTGCTCATCAGTAAAAGGGGCAGTAGTCACTACAACTACAACATGTCCAGGCCAACGTCGGTGATGCGTCTGCGGTCCACACAGAGGTGAACGCGGGACAGCTCCTCTGTGGCATGGAAGGAAACCAGGTGTTGCTACGCTTCTGTTTGTCCACTCGTAGCTTCTCTCTGTCAAAAACAACAAAAAACAGAGCTTAAATAAACCGTTTCACATTATATTCTCACAATATGTACTTTTAATGTTCTTTAAGTTGTTCAGGTTTGAGTTTCTATATTGTAATAATTGTGTAATAATTATCATCAAGTGGTGGCCCGCGAGACATACTCGGTCCACTAGCTCATTCTGTTTGATTTTTGAAGTATTAAGGGTGTATTCACACCTGACACTTTGATCCACTTTAAGGACTGGCGTTGGTTTGGACCTTTTATGCAGGTGTGAATCAAGATTATAATAGTTTTGGGTTTTTCATTATAGTTTAGTTTTATTTCGTTTTGAATTGTTTTCTTTTTTTGTCACTTCAGTAGAAAACGAAACCAAATATTATTAGTTTATTTATTTCTTCATCATCAGTAACTTTTTTTAAGTGAAGAGAAAATAGAGAAAGAGAGAAAAACAGAGAAGTAATTAGAAAGATTGAAATAGAGATTAGAAGTATATTAAATATACACCAAGACAACACAGGACCACACACCCAACATCTGTCCGCTCACCTGAAAAATAAATGGATAAATACATGGATGGCATTTATAAATACAGTATATACACATACCCATACATAAATAAAGATATACATGCATACATGCCTACATTCATAAATATTGTAAATATATACACACAGACAGATATACACTCAGTGATCAGTCAGAACCCCCCAGATCAGAACACCTGTTTGTGAGCGGTTGTGAACATGCGTGTATATACAAGATTTCTCCAATGGAATATTTAATAGTGGCTGTGGAGGACCGAAGACCCAACACCCAAGACACGAGGCAGACATAGGGAAGACCAGAGCCCAAGGGCCCGAGAGGGATCCCGAGCGCAGAGCCCCAAGGGGCACCCACACGGGAAGATCTGCCCACCCATCCTCCAGATCAGACCATAGGGGAGAACTGGGAGAGTCCCCCCAACGACACGTACAGCCCCGGGGCCAGCAGCGACAAACTCATGGGCCCCACCGGCACCCGCCATACCAGAGCAGATCCAGGAAAGGGRACAGAGGTCRGGGCCCCCAGGGCGCACCCCCTCCAGGCCAAAGCCCGACAGGGCCAGAGGCCCCGAGCCCCAGCAGGCAGTCACCAGGCCAGGCCGGCACACACCCCAGCGCCCAGCCCCAGAACCTGGGAACCCCCAGCACGCCGGCGYCCAGCCGCACACCCACCGGGGGGCCAGGTAGCAGCGGGTCCCCAGATAAACCAGCAGTAGGGGCAGCCCAGACCACAGCCTGACAAATACCCAAACATACACAATCGCACCATCCCACCCTCATCCTCACCCCCACTCAAAGACATACAAGGACGCCACATTCCACTTATACCCCCGATACACACTCTATACCCCCCAGGTCCAGGACATGCACCCATCCCCTATTGGAGGCAGCATACACCCGAACCCAGGAGGTAGACCCAATCATTCTGAGGTGGAGAGGAGCAGGTAGCCAAGACCCGGCCAGGGCTGGACCAGGACACCCGGCCAGCCCCCCACCGCAGAGAAGCCACACCCATGCCCACCCCACCACACCGCCAACGGCCAAGTGCACCCCCCAGCTGTCCACCCCCCAGAACCCGGCAGCCACCCCGGCCAGGGGGCCACCCACAGGAACCAAGAGCCACACCTCAGGAGATCAAGCAGCACCAGGGAGGATGGAGAGCCAGCCCCGCCCCCGGCAACCTCCAAGCCCTGAGCCCTGCCACAGCCCAGGACCGCACCCGGCGGCCCGCCCTTCTTCAGGACCCCCTCCCCAAATGGCAGTCGGGGAACGGGATGGGAGTAAAGACCCTGACACACACACACCCACCCACCCCCAGATGTACTTTTGTGCGTTTTGACTTGTTTTCTTTTAATTCAGTTAGTTTTAATTGGTTTTAAAGTGGATTTGCTAGTTTTTATTAGTTATTATTGCATTTTTAATGCTTCGTTTTAGTTTAGTTTCATTTTTACAAGTTCTAGTATTTGTTTTTTATATATAGTTTGATTAAACATATTTGCCAAAACCATCCTCAAGCTTGTGATCTTCCTGTTAGTTAACTAACAGCTATTTGGTCACTAGTTAAAGCAGTCCATTATAGAGACACCTTCCTAAAATAATTACTTAACTCAATTTTGCCAACTAAAGACTTGGTAGATTATTTTAGGACGACAACAGTAGTCTCCAACCTGTTGATTGCTTTTCACATGAGCTACTGAGAGAAGCTAGCGTGTCAAGATAGTCATAGTTAGCCATCTTTTGCCAGCTTGATTCGTGAAGTTTTTCACTTGAGAAGTATTCCACCTGTTTTACCACCTGTTTCCACTCACTCGATTTTATGTTTCTCTCAGTCATATTCAAAGAAATCCCAAAGTTGACATTGCTGTTTTCTCCCAACTTTTGCTGTCTGATTTTGCAGACAATGCTGAGCAGCAGCAGACTGTAAACAAGTGTTGTTATGGACCATAAGTTGCTTTAAGCTGCCCACAACTAATGTAAAACTACTCAATTTAAAAAAAGGAAAATAAATTGACAAACACTAAAACGAAGGACATTCTATAATTTCAGTTAGTTTTAGTTAGTTTTGTAATAAGATTATACAGTTTTAGTTAGTTATCATTTTTTCATTTTATTGCAGTTTTTATTTATTTCAGTTAACTAAAATGTTTTTTCAATTTCAGTTTTTGTTATTTAGTTAGTTTTAGTTAACTATAATAACCCTGGTGTGAATACCCTCATGTGAACCCTGGTGCAGATCAAACAACAGAACCGAGACCCATTTTTGAGGTGGTCTTGGTCCGCTTCCAACGAACTCTGGTGGTGTTTGTTTCTGGTGTGAATACAGACTGGCCTCGAACCGAACCAATGACAGGAAACATCATGAGCCACCATTGCTAGGCATCATCATAACGATTAGCCTTTCAGTGTTGCTAATGCTAACACTGCGCTACAAAAAATGAGTCATTGTGGGTCAAGGCACGCGGAGCATCTAGACTTCTTTGGATTGTGGCACGCATTTGACAAAGTTGTCCCACAATTTGAAGTGTATTACCATAAAACTGCCATTGAATGAGCTGCTATTGAAATTCTAATTGAATTGGAATTGTAAACACCATCTTTCCATGTCTGTGCTCTGTCCTTCCCCCGTCATTTTGTCTAATGGGAACAATAATTACAACCCACATTACTTTGTTCATAAATTATAGCCCACTTGCAAAAAGCACAACGTGAATGCAAACCACTCCAAAGGAAAAAAAAAATAAAGTCCACTTTCAATTCGTACCACACAAGTGGACCAAACGACTTTCCTGGAGTGAATACACCCTATAAATCAGGACACAGTAATCAGATTGGTGCACAATCAGACCTGATATAGGAAAAAAAGAAAACCCCTGCTGCTGCATGGGTCCATGAGACTACTATGGTTCGCTAGCTTTTATTTACTATCCTACTGATCTAGGCTTACTCTGACTTTTAAATAAATAGTCATAACCATTGTTTGAAATAATGTTTTGTCAAATAGTATCTAGTTGTGATATGAGTATGGGATAAAACAAGATGGGCTAATGGCTAGCCAAACGAGGGCCTGATCATTAAGTCTATTTTCAAAAATGACAAACTGTTGTGAAAGAACACTACTTTGTTCTGAAACTTTGCACTTTTATATGACATTTTTAGTTTGTTGGTGATTTCCCAACCAAACATCTGACTGTGTTACTACGTGTGTGTACAGGCTTTTACGTGCTGACGGTGTGAATGTATCAGTCCTCCTGGTGTTAGATCCCAGTTAATCGCAGCCTCAGCTCCATCAGCATGTTTATTATCTACGAGCTGCACACAAACATCCTCATCGTATTATTCTGCCATCTTTGCTTACTTTGTGTTCTGATATCATTGCTGATTAGGTGCTTTTGGATTATGTGAACCATTATGTGTTACTTGTAGAAATTTCTTTTCTTCGTGTTTGCACCTGACGTAGCCAGCTTCAAGTAAAATTAAAGCAGTTCACATGTGAACACTTCTTACAGTACTTTGATTCAGGCCTTCATGTCTGATATCACTTAAGCCTTCATTTTCCAATTGTTTCTACAGGGCTTTAATTTATCTCTTTAGCAGTTCAGAGGTTGGAAAACCTTTCAAAAATTTTAAAAAAAATCTGGCTCAAGTACATTTTGTCAATGACACGTGATATAAGCCATACTCCTCCTGTAACCAAGTGTTATGAATGGAAGGACGAATTGATCCCCAGATGCACGACTGACTGAGTTAAGGCCAAAAAGGCTTTAATTTTCAAAACAAAGGCTGGCATGGCAGCAAAACTGCGAGGACTAAGGCTTAGCATGAAAGTACACAACAGTCAACAAAGATCTGGCAAAAACAGAAGACAGAGAACAGAATATAAAGGAGAACTAATTAGCAGAAACAAGAAACACCTGGGAGAGAAACATGAGGATCAGGTGTGAGTGGGCGGGGCTGGAGCAAAGGAAGACAGGAGGAAAAAAACAGGACAATAAAACATTAACACAGACACCAATCATGACACCAAGTGAATCTGGTTTTAGTTGTATGCAAGCTAGGATAAACAAAACACTAAATCCTATCTTTGACCTAGACCCTAGCTCAGGTCTGAAATGTTGCAACAAGCGGAAGCCAAAAGTTAATTTTAAAAATTTCTAGTGAAAAACGAAATGACTGTTTGGAAGAATTTGTAAAAGGAGCTGATGATTATATGTTGCTGAGCTCGCAGCTCTCCCAGAAATACTGATGTGCTTAAGCTACCACACAGCTGATGATAAAACATTTAGTTAATTATTTTAAATTAAACTGTTCATTTAAATGCAAATAGTTTTTTTATTTTGTAATCTGGTGAAAATTTGCTCAAATAGAATATTTTTAAAGCACGGTTGTAGAGTTTATTCTAGGTTTGTAGGTTTGAAGGTCTTCAATTCACTGTTTTATTTTTCTGCTGATTTAAGATCAAAC